CCATCTCTTGTTCTAGACCACAACTTCCTCTTCCTAAAGATAGTAAAAAACGAAGACACATGTTGTAGAACATCACACTGGCAAAAGTCTCATTCTAACAGTGGTACAGTACTCGCCGTTTGAAATCGAAAATTCACGCGAATAACGCGAATCCTCGTTAATTTCGTGTTATAACTCGGTTCAAAATTGAGCTTTCGAGAATCCGAAGATATCTTTGAATTCAGCTCGTCGGACACTATAAGAATGTGCTTTGATACTTTGGAAAAGCTCCATATAGGATTGCGCCATGCACTCGATTTTCATCTCAAAAAGTAGTTGCTCGCATGTGATGTGTATATAATCCCGCTTATGCGGGCTAACCGCTACACACAGAGAAGGGCCTCAAAACTTACCCCAGAATGCGCCACGTACTCAATCTCATCCACTACATTGTGAGATTAGATGAATGTTATTTTCCGAATTCTTAGATCTTCATTTCGTTTTCAAGCGCTTACTGGCTTTACGTGTTCCCTCTGCTCTCAATATCCCATCCTCTGTATATCAAGTGGAATCTTTGAACAGTTCTCAGCAGGCATAGTGGGCCTATTATGTGACATTTTCCATTTTCAGAGGAGATGTTTTGCAGAAAGCTGTGAAGATAGCGAACAATTTCCTTCACTGTCGTAGACTACGGTCACTTGTCTGTAAGGATTATATGGAAACCTTGGTCGCAGGTGAGCGTTTCTTCCGTGGTGTGACCCCAAACATCACCCCTTGTCATGCCTTTGCCCCCTATTACGTGACAAGTCCCATTTTTAGAGGAATGTTTTGTAGAAAGCTGTAAAGGAAGCGAAGAATTTCCTTCACTGTCGTAGACTATGGTCACTTGTCTGTAGGAATTATGTGGAAAACTCGGTCGCAAGTGAGCGTTCCTTCCGTGGTGTGGCCCCAAACATGCCTCCTCGTCATGCCCTTGTGGAAATGTTCAGATTTTTTGCATTTCCAGATGAACTCGCAGACCTGAAATGTGCCCCGTTAGCTTCCCCGTGAAAAATGCTATCGAATGATATGCATTACTTCCCCAGTTGAAACTTTGGTTTTTCACCGTTTTCAGCCTTCCCCTATTGCCGGATCACTATCCCACGATTACTGCCCCAAAATCTCAAAGTTTCATTTTTCGTCGAAACTTTGTCTATTGGGGTAATTCGATGCCCTGATTACGAATATGACATTCATTTTTGATGCTGGTGTCATTTGCCATTTGGCGCCGTTTGGCGCCAATTTGGCGCCACGGCTGTTTTCACCAAATCTGCTGAAACTTCGTCATTTGGGGTTATTTGGGGTCCTGATTACGAAAACGACACCCGTTTTTAGCGCTGGCGCCAATTTGGCGCCACGGCTGTTTCCACCAAATCCGCTGAAAACGTGTGTATAGGGGTTATTTGGGTCCTGATCACGAATATAACATCCAGTCTTGACGCCGGCGCCATGTGGTGTCACAAACAACACTTCACAGTCAGAGCGTACTCTTAGGCACCTTTCTCAGAGCGCCGACTGTCAGACCGTGGAAAAGGTCATCGAATCGGAGACTTTCCCACGACAGGAAGGAGCCAGAAGCATGTTTCACGTTTTCGACAACGGAGAATAACGATGGCTCTTGCTACTCTTTAGCGACACAATCGTCAATGAGAGCTACTGGGCTTAGCCTTGAAGGACGTGTACGAGACGCTCAAGTTGAATAATCTGCACTTACTGGTTGCGATCCATGGGTTTGATGTCTGTGCCACTATGCCCTTCATGTCAACGATCTATGAGCCTGATCAACGACGAACGGCACAACGCTGGATTTGCATCGTCGAGGCGTGTGCCGCACTGGACCGTCGAACGAGACCAGGGTCTACGTTCATGCCCGAAAGGATTCCTTTTTCGAGAACTGTAACTTTCCTGAGTCCACGGTGTTCGCACTGCCCTATTTCTGGCTGCGCGACATGGGCAAGGTGAAGGACAAGGAATACGAGCTCAATGTCGGCCACACCAGTTCAATTCAGTGGGAGCGGTTCTTCCGCGACGAATGTGTGGGGCACTTCAGGAGGAACCCGCCGATCATCGGAAGTTTGGGTGTGCGAGATGGAAATTGACGAAACACTGGTTATCAAACGCAAATACAACCGCCGACGTTGGGTACGCAGGCACAAGTGGCTGTTTGGAGGCATTGAAAGAGGAAGTGGACTCCTTCGGATGGTCCGAAGGAAAGACGTTTCAACTCTACTGCGGCTCATCATGAAGTAGTACATCGAGCCCGGTACTACCATCCTCAGTGACAGCTGGAGAGCTTACAGTCGAATTGCTGCTCTGCCCAACGCATACAGGCATCTCCAGTGAAAACGTGAAATATGCTTCTGGCTTAGCTCACAGTTTTCCACGGTCTGGCTCCTTCCTGTCGTGGGAAAGTCTCCGATTCGATGACCTTTCCCACGGTCTGGCTCCTTCCTGTCGTGGGAAAGTCTCCGATTCGATGACCTTTTCCACGGTCTGACAGTCGGCGCTCTGAGAAAGGTGCCTAAGAGTACGCTCTGACTGTGAAGTGTTGTTTGTGACACCACATGGCGCCGGCGTCAAGACTGGATGTTATATTCGTGATCAGGACCCCAAATAACCCCAAATGACGAAGTTTTCAGCAGATTTGGTGAAAACAGCCGTGGCGCCAAATTGGCGCCAAATGGCGCCAAATGACACCAGCATCAAAAATGAATGTCATATTCGTAATCAGGGCATCGAATTACCCCAATAGACAAAGTTTCGACGAAAAATGAAACTTTGAGATTTTGGGGCAGTAATCGTGGATAGTGCCAATCCGGCAATAGGGGAAGGCTGAAAACGGTGAAAAACCAAAGTTTCAACTGGGGAAGTAATGCATATCATTCGATAGCATTTTTCACGGGGAAGCTAACGGGGCACATTTCAGGTCTGCGAGTTCATCTGGAAATGCAAAAAATCTGAACATTCCACAAGGGCATGACGAGGAGGCATGTTTGGGGCCACACCACGGAAGGAACGCTCACTTGCGACCGAGTTTTCCACATAATTCCTACAGACAAGTGACCATAGTCTACGACAGTGAAGGAAATTCGCTTCCTTTACAGCTTTCTACAAAACATTCCTCTAAAAATGGGACTTGTCACGTAATAGGGGGCAAAGGCATGACAAGGGGTGATGTTTGGGGTCACACCACGGAAGAAACGCTCACCTGCGACCAAGGTTTCCATATAATCCTTTACAGACAAGTGACCGTAGTCTACGACAGTGAAGGAAATTGTTCGCTATCTTCACAGCTTTCTGCAAAACATCTCCTCTGAAAATGGAAAATGTCACATAATAGGCCCACTATGCCTGCTGAGAACTGTTCAAAGATTCCACTTGATATACAGAGGATGGGATATTGAGAGCAGAGGGAACACGTAAAGCCAGTAAGCGCTTAAAAACGAAATGAAGATCTAAGAATTCGGAAAATAACATTCATCTAATCTCACAATGTAGTGGATGAGATTGAGTACGTGGCGCATTCTGGGGTAAGTTTTGAGGCCCTTCTCTGTGTGTAGCGGTCAGCCCGCATAAGCGGGATTATATACACATCACATGCGAGCAACTACTTTTTGAGATGAAAATCGAGTGCATGGCGCAATCCTATATGGAGCTTTTCCAAAGTATCAAAGCACATTCTTATAGTGTCCGACGAGCTGAATTCAAAGATATCTTCGGATTCTCGAAAGCTCAATTTTGAACCGAGTTATAACGAATTCACGAAATTAACGAGGATTCGCGTTATTCGCGTGAATTTTCGATTTCAAACGGCGAGTACTGTACGAGGACAGCCCCTTGACATCAAATTCCATCGTAGACCAATCTAAGGTAGCAGATGCCTCGACAGAGACCTGCATCCATCGGCTAGAATGCTTATTCGCACATACGGGGTTAAATGGCTAGCCAAGAATGCGAAACACGGATATGATACCCAAATCACCCTTCGTGAAGAAGGGTGCCCCAGATAGAAACCAGTGAGACATGAAGAAGTCGCACCAACTTTTTCTTTCAGGTCGCTCATCGTGGGACATGAGGAGAGGTAAGGGCTAGGTGATGCTAGAGGGGAGGATCGTATTTTGAAGATCCCCCTATCTTGATGATGGTAATTGTAAACATCAGAAAATTGATTTTTACTCGAGTATTTCCATTGGTAAGCCGTGAATAGAGCTTAAAACTTCAATTAAATACGTTGTGTATGTCGCATTCAACTCCTAGCATTGGTTCATCCACATGGAATGGTCATGCAATCCGGAGAGGCGGAGTCGCCTATCTCTTCCAAATTTTTATTTCCATCAGTATATACACCTCCAGTATTTATTAAACATAAAAATGACACAAGAGATCTATGGGTGTGTAAAATTAACACATTGACGACAGTTGTTATCATACGTCTTGGCATTACTTATATTCCTTCACTAGTAGTCTTTACCCGGTCAAAAATTTCATCACTGATAGCGGTACATAGTTTTCCGAACCATAGCGGTACATAGTTTTCCGAATCCGTACAGCATCAGAATAGTACTGAATCATAAACAAGTCCAGGTAAATGAAGAAAAACGAGTCCCCTCAGGCTAGAGCGTGACGCGCAGCCGCGTCACGTCGTCGTCAATGTGTTACTGCGAATGGGAACCGTGTGATACAAAACAACTTGAGTTTCAGCTATAATGATGACTAATCTATACAAATGTTGCCACGAAACTAATGAAGAAACCTCGAAAGGATTTCCCAGCTGAGACAGAGAAATCTCTCTGGTTACGTGGAAGTTGTTATCGTACAGAACAGGACAATATGAAAGATTTAAAGAATGAAAACTATAACTAACACTATGTTATGGAACCTCAAGCTATGGCATCAAAAAGTGAATATTGATTATGTGCAGAGACGTAGAGTAGATGGTCAGACGACGACGGTCTTCACGCAATTCTTCAGACGTTTAGTTGTCAGAACTGAAAGACGGAGTCGTCTTTGACGATCATTGTACGAGTTGTATAACGACGATCGAACACCGACTGAAGGATCCAGTACAGCCGACGTGCGCAGTAGACGCTGTAGGATTTGAAGACCACAACGACAACGATGAACACCACCAGAACCTGAATAAAGACTTTGACGACATCCAAGGGGTATACTGTAACCCAAGGCGGGGCGACATACCGGGTCGACCTGTTCCCCACGGATCAACTGAACGAGAAGCACAACAAGGTACGCAGAGGCGACGAGAAGATCCACAACACCGGCGGTGATGTACGGTATGATGGCACGGTATCTGGATGTTTGAATAGCTATCTGTAAAACAAAAATTTATGCTGCCTCCAGAATTAGCAGTTGGACTATCTCTTCATTCCACGCGTTTGGTTTTTTTCACGCTAAACTTTATTTTTCGCGGCCCTGAGAGCCAAAGTCGGAATTAGGGACTACCCAACAGGAGGCCCGTCGCGCGGCAAGAAGGCAGAGTCAGCGGACGAGTCGCAGCGTCAAGTTCGCGTCAAGTTAAATAGAATGTCCCATTGTACGTCCTACATCGCACATCACGCGCTGCGACTCGTCCGCTGACTCTGCCTTCTTGCCGCGCGACGGGCCTTCTGTCGGGAACCCGGGATTAGCAGCCCAAAAGTAGTCCCTCCGAGAGTGAGAGAACAAGAGTTCTCAGGACCAGGAATTGCGATGCCGTCGCGGCTCAAAAGGATGAGGCAGCGGTGCTAATGCTTCGCCTTTTGTGCTGCCGTGCTGCCATCCTTATCAATCGCGGCATACCACGTTTGCGCCCTCTCGCGAACGACATGCTCCTCGCGTTTTCCGCTCCTTGCAGCGCTGTGTCTCTACATCACACCACTACCGATCTCACGGGAAAACTTCTGGTTTCTTTGGTGCTTGTTAATATTACTCCTCACGTTCCTCATCGCATCTCGTGGTTGATCTTCCAAAAAAATAACACACTAATTCGATCGTGATCCGTGCCTTTAAGGATGAGGATCAGGAGATCTCGATTGTGGCAACTTACTGAAAGAAAACCATGACGTGTGACGCTCTTTGCAACGTCGATACTGTCGCAATGCCGGGATGGGGTCTATGGGGATCTCCCGACCACTCCCGCCAAAACTAGGACGCTCCTACGACCGCTTTTATGAGATGAGTATTTGCACTCCACGACTGAATGTGTGTGAGAATGAAAGTCAAAGTGGATCTGGCGATTGGCCGCTCCCAATGAACGAAAGCAAAAAATGCTCAGAACCTCAGAATCCCTGCGCGCTGACCTTTTGAACGAAATTTATTCAATACGGAAATCCCAGTCCGCTAGTTGCTTTCACTTCTTCACTATTGTTGTGTTGTTGTGCAGTATTTCACTACACCAAGAGCGAAGCTCAGCCGATGAGACTCTTGCGCGTTAGACCGCAAACTCCGCTTGAAGGAGCAGTATGCAATGTCAGTTCAGAGGTCCTTAGCGAATTTCTGATCTACTTCGTCGCAGAAAGACCAAGTGTCACAAATATGATGTATTTTGAGCGCAGTGAGCCACATCAGACTGATCGAGGAATGTGCCTTGAGCTTGAGGTGGCTGTCAAATGCTCTTAATGCTCTACGGTAATCTATTAGTGCACCCCAGTTAGTCCCACAATAAGCCACTCCTTACAATTGCTGAGCTAGAATGAAGCTAACGGATTAGTCGACGGATGATATGAAGCCGTCTTCGCATCGAAACGCTTCACCAAGGCGTAGGTGCTAAGGGCTTTGACTGGATCCAACCGAAACCATCAGAATCCGCCCAACGCTCGATATCCTCCCTGCAGCGCAACGTTGATGTGCTATATCTCTCTATCCAGACTACTCTTACCCTCTTCGTGAATCACATTATATCGCATCTCCATATCAGCCTCTTACTATTAGACTTCTCTCCAGTGTAGAACAAGAAGGCTCTCATTCCTGATTTTTCCTTTCCTTTTTTCAGCTGCAGTCCACTCCGATCCCTACTCTCACGTTTGAGTGGATTAACCATATCAACTTATTATCCTTGCCTACGAAAAATATTACCACATAATAGAAAAAATAGTCTTAAAGACATACCAAGGCTCCAAGATTGATAAACAAATGAGCGATCAGCCATGCGAGCAGCGGACCATTTGTTGTGCAGAGCCGCTTTTGTGTTGTTACAGTCGAATGTTCTGCGCCACTTACGGAAACGTTGTAGGACCGACACCGCATCAGTGGATGTTCGAAATCTGAACGTGCTGGTACTACTAAATTTTCAAAGGAGCCGATAGATGACTCTAACATGATTGTGCTTTGAGAACTGCGAAGTGGTGCTGTAGAAATATGCTACATATGAACACACCTCGTGTACGGTACACTTTGTATAGCTATAAATCGACGGGGTGGGGGTGGAAAGCGGGAACGCATTCCATGTTTATGTTCCAGAGTACAATTCCCGTGTGAAATCTTGCTTCTCGAAAGCTTCCGCATCTGCCGGTTCGGGTGATTCGCACAAGCCTTGTTTGGGGATAATGGAACACGGAATTGGGTATCGGCCGTTTCCTGCATACCCTGCATTATATTCCAAATCGTATTCAAATGCCCCTTCCATTTTGAGTGGAAGAATACGTGGCCATCTCAAGAAGGCACTGACCGTGCCAAATGCATCAGTTTTGTCGGATTAGTTTCCAGTACCCAGTAGGCCATCATCGCCGCCATCTGTCTGAGCCAGAATGACTCCAACAACTTCATAACTAGGGCATACGCTCATTCTTCACCTTAAGTTGATGCATCAGCTCCTTCTCAAGGAGATGACGCATACAAAACTGTTGTTTAAAGGCAGCGATTACGATAGTTTTGAGAAGGGTTTAGAGGAGACGTGGTGGTGCTCAATGGTACGCCAGTGGCGAAAAAAGCAGAGAAATCCGTCAAGAAAACGCAAAACGGACCCCCTTTTTTGGCCGTTGGTTTTCACTCATGAACAGGTAACAGCTCAGAAAGCGGACGTATGAACGAGTTCACCGCAACGCGTTTGGTACCATGCCAAACCACGCTCCAATCGAGTGCTCCAGTTGTGCCGCTGCTGGCAACGCAGCTCGTCCAAATCACCAACTAAACTAGTGGGCGGATCGCTTTTGGGGGCGGAGTGCTTTCGAAGTCCTGCTCAGCAACCAGCGCACCTTTCGTCGTAAAGCGCCACACCTCGCTTCCTGGCAGCCAAGTAACTGCTTCGTGTGGTGCATATGCTTCCCCGATGCGCTCCCTCTTTATCGTAATCGCTTCCTTTAATTCCTTAGAAGCGACTGCCTCTACATATTTATAGCTGAATCGCCTTTCGTGTAGCGGCAATTCCAAAAAAAAGTTGAGTGCGTGGTACTGCTATTAGAAAAGGGACTGCTCAGCGCTTCAAAGCTTGATTATCTTCCAAGTGGGACATTTTTTCACGGGTTTGCATTGCATCAAATAATTGTGGTCAAACTTTGCAAGTAATCCCCAGTAGTCTCGTGTTGGCTAGGGGTTGGCGACGTCTTCCAGCTAACTCGATATGGATGTGTTTCCCAACGGACTGTTTTTTATACGTCTGCTGCTCATTAGACATTCATTGACAAGATTAGTGAATTAGAGCTCTTCGCGCGACCAAGGATGATACACAGAAGAGGTCCTGAAAGCTCATTCCCAGACAATACACACATTTTTCTCCAGTACATATTTCTTGATAAGCTTTTTGCTGGATAACAATTCCCCTAAATATCAATAAGAATATGAAGTGAAATAGAAACAATATTTTTAAAAAAATGGCATTATTTACCCTACACTGCCGTAACTCTTATCACCAAGATGCGAATGGGTTTTTTTGTGAACAAAAACGTTTCACCGCCAGCGGACTAGAACCGCCGCATCCGCTCGATTCTCCGGGGAAAGTGTGCCACAGGTTACGCTACGCGGGAGCAACATTTCACTCCAACCTGCAGATTTTGATAAAGGAGCCTGGACAAGCGAGGGGTCGCGAGTTCTAGTCCCGCCTGGGGTGAAAGTTTTGTTCACAGCACAGCATTTTTGTGAAATATTTGCAAGGCAAACGGCCAAAACAGCAGCTAACAAACTGAGGCGTATATTTATAGAAACTTCTCATGAAGTGGATTTATTTCAAAAGTTGTCTCTGGGGATCAGCTCGACACAGTGAATACGAAACACACATTCGCTTAGTGCGGAACAATCCGTGCGCCGCCCGCGCCACAAGTGCCAGCGCCAAAAGGCGGCGGCAATACACTGCGACGCATAATTATAGTTCCACCTACAAATTTCCCAAAAACTTGAATCTGGGGATGTTTTTGGAAAAGGCTCTACAGATAAATTGTGACACATATAAACGCGAATCTGAATATTAACACGGAAATCCAGTTTGAGAAAGCAACAATTTTTTATCCTTATTTTTTCGAAAATATCCGCTTTAGCTTCTCCGCTGCATTTTGCTTTTACCCAATCAAAATTTGGAATTATTATCCATTCAAGTTCCTTAGCTTATAGCAAAGGCAAAACCGTGTCACTTCCGTAAAAGGGAAATCCTAGCAAAAGAGACGCAGGAATTGTCAAAGTGTCAGCTCCGCTGGAATTTGTCGGGGTGACTTCATAACGAACAAATTTCTCAAGGGATGCTACAGGATATGACTGGGAGGAACCCTGATTACTATCCGACTGAGATAAGCGCCGTATCGTGAGAAAATGATATCCAGCCAGGGTACTGAAATTGTA